ATATTGCTCTAGTGTTGACCATATGGACAAGTACTCATAGACTGTGTTGCAATAATTTTCTTTAATTTATTTGATAAGCTATGCAATATGCAGCAAGTTTTGATGAGTTGTCACTATATTGGAAGTGGCAAGAATTACATGATGTGGGGTCCAAAGTTGAGTTAGAGCCTTCAAGGAAAGAGGAAACTACAAATAATGGTAAAGAAGGATTTTAAGCACCATCAAGTGAGGAAGCACCTTCAAATGCCAGTGCTGCGGCTACGCAATATATAGAAAAGCATTATAAGAGCAAATGAAGAACCTGCAATGCAGTATGACTTCTGTGAGGGATCTACCTCCCCATTACCGGGGATATACCTCCCTCCAAGAGCAATCCTCCCCATTACCGGGGATATCCCGCTCTCCATCAAAGGATTTCAGCTAACCTGCGGGTCAAACCCCCACAGTAGCCTTTACCTCTGTCCCACATCGGGGAAAGAGTCGTCTCCCCACCCCCATATAAGCCGAAGCACCATATGAGAGCAGTACCCAAATAGCCAACTTCTATGTTCCCTTTTATTATAATTTGTACAGTTTGTTCAATAGGTCACATCTAGATGATATATCTTGCAATGAATTATTATTTGTTATAGGTGTTACCTAGATTGAATTACCTGTGCCTTCAGGTGTGGCGACAATGGCAGTGGTGACTGGAGCTTTTTTTAAGTGGTTGTGGCAGTGATTAGCAGTGGTCATGTGTTGTTCAATGTTAATATACTCGATGATTATTTCTTACTAGTTTTCTATAAAACTTATCACTTAGTAGATACTGGTACTTGGAGTTGCGAAATGATCAAATGATGTGGTTTGGAAATGATACTAATCTATATCGGTAGAACTTTAAATATGTTATGCTAATGGGAGAGGACCTGTTGTTTGTAGTTTGGCAAGAAATAGTGGTTGATCCTTGAGCAATTTAACTAGGATGATTCATGTTAGAGTCATGCTATTTACATTGCCCAATGATTGTGTTTTCCTCTTGAGTGTACTGGCTTTCATAAGTATAGTGATTACAGTTAAAGAAGCAAGATGTTACTCATCATGCTTTGCCTCTTTTCTAGTGATTGACTGTTATCGTAGCAATGTAAAAGTTCAAAAGCTAATTGTGCATAAGAGTTTCTTATTCCATCTCCCTCCACTCCTGTGGCCCCAAAAAAGAAGAGAAATCCAAAATAAAGATATATTTTGTTCTATGCATCCACTGGTGTACCGTTGCAGCAAATAATGTCATTGCTGCAAGAGGAAGTCACAAGAATTCAAAAATAATGCACAAATCAGCTACACTCCAGGGTTATAATATATATTGCTAAATCATCTGTTAACTTAAAAGTAAAGAGGAGTCAATTAATAAGTTTTCGCAATAGGAAGTTCCTGTACTTGAACCTCATGACCTTACCAATAGATTGTAGTCTATTCACATGGGTAGTCTACTCTTAAGAGGCAACAAGTGAGGAGGGGTCTTGAAATATTTTGCACATTTCTCTCTAATATCTCACACTTTTGAAGCAGGAAACTTGTCTAGTCACCAACCAATATGTCTATCAGGTTCCACAGCTAATCATGCCTTTTGCTGCCCTATTTATCCTCCCCAGTAGTATGTGTAAGAAATTTCTTTTCAGATAGGTTTTGATCCATTCAAGAAACCATCCTTTTGTTTAAAATCATTAGTCACACGAGTGTACTTACTCAAAGATACTAAATAAAACTCTCCATTATTCCGATAGTCAGTGTAATCTATCTATTTACTTCTTCAAAAAATGTAGTACTCTTTTGGGGAGGAGTAGGATGAAAGTATGCCAGTAAAAACCCACATGCAACCATAGGTACAAGATCATTACATGTTATAGCCATCAGGTTTGCAACACAATGGAATAACTATGGCACTAGTTAACCAAAATTGGTATGCTTTAGAAGGGTGTCATCCTTCTCTTTATTTGATGGTCATTAATTTGGACAATCACTGCCAAATGCAAAGTGCTGTATGTAGGCTGCTAGGAATAGATTAGATACATACCTAACTGTTGAAATAATTTGTATATATAATATTTCGCCCTTAGACTTAAATCCTCATTCTCTAGCTTCGGAACTGAAACATTTTGCTATTCTACCAAGCCACTATAATGAAGATGACAAGGACCAAAAGTCCCTATTATGTGGGAATTGGGATGCAAGGAATGATGAATTTATTACGGTTCCTAACCTCTAGTATTATTGAACGAAGTGCTGCCTTAGAGTCCAACTTGTTATGTCAATCGTCCTTCTATCTCTATGCCTTTTAAATTTAAGCATAAGTACGATACTTGGCTGTTTTAATTAACAATTTGTCTGACAAATGGTTTAACACCTAAAGGTAACAATTCATTTGAGAACCAACCCCTGTTTTCTACTTAATTGTGTGGTGGGGTTTAATATTAGACTAGAAGAAATGAATCCCAAAGGTGAGTTTTTTTCCTCACAACACATCCACAAAGAAAGAGACAGTAGTTGCTTCTGCTTTAAAAAAGCCCCCATTGAATCATCTTTGTTATATAATTCCTGAAAAGAGGTTGCTGATGCAGATGGTAAGCAAGCCACTTTGGTTGCGCCTCAACAAGGGTACAGAAGGCTAATTGATAGATCTCTAGGTTTTCTTCCCAGCCGAAGCATCAGTTGATACTGCAATATTATTAGCTCCTGCTTGATGTAATTGAATTTCACAGCTTCTACATTGGAAATAAGTGGATTTCTTGAATACTAGAGTTTTTGTACAAACTATGTTGGATCTTATGTTGAAGTTCAAGTATATGCATTACTTATGATAAGCATGATGCCTTAATGATTGTATCGATTTGTATCCTCCATAAGGTTTTTATTCAATCTATTTTTAACGAATTTTAAGTGGTTTTTCAAATATTATTTTAAATCTGCATCATTTTTATACTCTGGAAATTAATTTCCAACCTGCTATCAGAGTAGTTGTATAACAATGGGGTGTCTTGCTGGAATCTTTTGTAAGCAGTCATGCTGCTTAGTGAATAACAGAAGTTTTCTACCACTTGCCTTTTTTCTTTTTCATCAGGAATTGTATGCTCTATGTATCCCTTTGGTTGGAGCGCTATGCTTGACCTGATCATTGTGCCAAAGGCAGGGATAAGTGTTAACTAATCAGTAGTACTGTCAGTTCGTAGGAGAACTAGATCATACTTTAGAAACCGGTCAAAGAGAAGAGATATCTCTGGTTGTGAAAGAAATGAATGACAGGATAACTATAGTCCAAATAAGCATTCCTGACCTTTCTAATCCAAATTAGGAGATGAAGAATGCAAATTAGATAAGGAATTGAAATTAGTATACTTCTGCATCACGTATATTAACGTAAAATAGATGATAAACATCGAAATTTATTACATCTTCACATCTTATTGTCGCTTTGATATTTGCCTAATATCGAGATTAGTTTGATGAATTCGGTTATGAATTCAATCTAGAAGAAAGTGTAGTAGATTACGAGATTCATGATGATATTGAATAGAGATTTATAGACTAATAAAAATTGGGATAATAAAACTAGATTGACAATTAAAAACATGAATTGGAGCGTAATCTTGCATAAGTATTTGCATCTTGTATAATTTTTTTTAAAAGTTTAAAAAATATTTTTTTATTGACTCGAACACGACACAAAACAAAAATATTATGACACGATATAATTGAGAGCTATTGAACGAGCATTAACATATGTAATTCTTTTGGATCATAAATGTGAAGTATTTAAACTTTGAGGGATAAAATTTATAATTAACCCAAATTTTTTGAACGGCAAAATAGACGGTAGTTAGTCCTACATGTATATTGATACATATTTATATTTTTCAAAGTATAAATTAATATTTTTAAACTTTGAGAGTTTAAATTAAGATTTCAGTGATCTTTCGAGTTACAAGTTAAAATTAACCCACCAAAGATTATCATTCTATGAGTACTCGTTTGACTTGTTTACAATAAACTTCATTTGCCTACCCCAAAAGCTATGAAATGAGGAAAGGAGCACTAGAAAAGGAAGGAGGGAAAAGTCTAATAACATTGTGTCCCTTGAATGATCTTAAAATTTTTCCTTTACTTTTCGGAAATCCTTTGGATTTCTCAAAATAGATATCATATTCTCATTTTTTTTTCATGATTTTTTTTATTAATTCCACTTGATTTCAAAAATACTAGTCGCCTCAAATAATCCGTGTGACACATGCAATGCCAATCAATGAAAAATTTGATGTTGTTGACTAATTGAGGCATATTACATTACCATTTAAAGATGAGTAATGCTAGAGTGATCAAATTTTGAGATCAAATTTAGAGTCTAAATAGCATGACAGTTGATTTAGACTTCTTTTTTGGACCCCAATAAAAATTTCATATAATTAACTACCATATCATTTGGACTCCAAATTTAATCCCAAAATTTGATCAAAAAATATTAAGATCGTAGACTAAGACTTTTAAACATTGAGAGGACTTGGTGAAAATTTTAAAATCTTTAAAGTACCAAAGCGTCATTCACCCACAAAAAATAAAAAAGGGACGGCCATGTCATTCAATTGACATTGATTGAATTGTTTTTGGGTGAATTATATTTTGTACCACAAAAGATTTAAGAATTTTTTGCTTTGGCCCTGAAAAATTAAATTTTTAACCTTATACCTTTAATGTATTAAAAAAGCTATAATGTGACCTTTCTTACTTATTCCGTCAGTTTCAATAAGAGGTTTTTGATGGAATGAATAACGGAAGTTAATCGAAGGATCACAATATAATACTTTTAATATATTAAGGGTTGAATCTAAACAATTTAATCTTTAAAGGTAAAAAATAATATTAAATTAGATTCCCAAATTAAATAAAAATAACATTTTCCTCCGAGTGTTTCCGTGACTCGTCATTATCTCTACTTTGCTTACACAGTTATTGCAAAACATCACACACCGATGGATGAAACTGCTTTTGCTTCACTATTGTTGGCCCTGCTATTAGTTTCCCACCGCAGCACGAGTTCAATTCAGAGAGATCAGATCCTATCTATCTACAACGTGCTAATACTAATGACGACCGTCTTCGACGAACTGGTTAACAAATTCCCTGATCGTTATGAAATTAAAATTCTGCTGGAAAAAATTTATGATGTGACTGGTATCATGAGTCGATTCAGACCACCGGATAAGGAAGTCTGTGATACTGTGGAAGAGGAAAAGCTCGCCAGTCTCAAAGAAGATCTTAAGGCTGTCATCACAGTGGCGTCAGTGATTTGGGTCAAGATATATGATATCGATGTCCCACAAGTGCATTCACCGAAAAAGATGAAAACAAGTACCGCAAGAGTAGATACTGCGGTGAGCTTGCACTTTGGAAAGTCTTACAGCATTGGAAGTTCCGCGAAAAATGATCCCTTCATGGGAGAGGAAGAAACGATGGTGGGCTTTGGTGAGGAGGCGGCGAGGATAGTGCAGAGGCTTATTGAAGGACAAGATGGGTTACAAGTATTGTCAATTGTCGGCGAGCCTAGAATTGGCAAGACAACTCTGACTGGAAAAGTGTACAATGATCCTTACATTACACATCACTTCAATGTTCGTGCATATATTAATCTTTTTGAACCCGACCCATCGTTGGATTTGCTACCTAGCACTTCCAATTCCGCCATCCTGATCACTGATCGAATTTGTAGAATGAATCACAAAGAGTTATGCGAAGAACTTTACGGGTTCTTAAAAGATATCTTCTTGTCATTGAGGATATATGGAACGTTTGTGTCTGGGACTATTTGAAGAGATGTTTTCCAGATGACAACAATGGAAGTAAAATTATACTTACTACTAGGCACAAGGAAGTGGCTTTGTATATTGAACCTCATAGCCCTCCTCATTTTGTTCGTCCTTTAACTCCAAATGAAAGTTGGGTTTTATTGCATAAAAAGGTATTTGGGGAAGAAAGTTGCCCTCAGGAGTTATGGGATATCGGAATGGAAATAGCAAGAAAATGGCGTGGACTACCTCTCAAAATTGTAGCCATATCAGGGCTTCTTGCAAAGGAAGAGAAGACCCAATATTTATGGGAGCACGTTGCCCAAAGTAGAAGTTCAAAAGTGCCTAAGGCATGTGCTTTTCCCTCTGAGTTTCGTTTCCCTCAAAACCTTGTTTTCATCGATGATACTGATATCTTCCTAGGGCATGGTTGTATCACTGAGCATCTTAATATGACTATGAGTAAAGAGCTCAAAAAGCATTCTGACATGAAAATGTGCAACAGAATCGGAAAGGCTGAAAACATAGGTTTGTACAGAGGAATTGCGTCAGCACCAAGGCTTTTGAATGCAGGGCAAACATTCAAAAACAGTCCACCAACAGCTAATATTCCTACCGTGGATGAGGAAATTGTGGTTGGCTTTGATGATGAAGCAGAGACCATTAAGGAGCGACTTATCGGAAGGAAAAAACTAGAAGTTGTCTCGATTGTGGGAATGCCCAGACTAGGTAAGACAACTCTAGCCAAAAAAGTTTACGATGATCCTTTCACTGTATATCACTTTTATATTCGGGGGTGGGTCTATGTGTCTCAAGTATATACAAAGAGGGATTTGCTCCTTCACATTTTGCATTCTGCTTTTCAGCTTAGAGATGAAATTTGTAAAATGAGTGATGAAAAATTAGGAGATGAGCTGCACAAACGCTTAAAAGGTAAGAGGTATCTAGTCATGTTGGATGACGTTTGGGATATTGGGGTCTGGTATGATTTGGAAAAAGTTTTTCCAGACGACAATAATGGAAGTAGAATTATGTTCACCAGTCAGATTACATACATTGTTTTCCGTGCTAAATTTAATAGCTCTCATCATCCGCGTTTTTTAACTCAAGATGAAAGTGGGAACTGTTGCAACGAAAGATATTTAAGGGAGTATACTGTCCTCTAGAGCTGGTGGAAACTGGAAAGCGGATCGCAACCAATTGTGTGGGACTACCACTTACAATAGTTATAATAGCTGGACTTCTTGCAAAGACAGAGAAAACGCTAGACTGGTGGAACCAAGTTGCTGACAGTGTCAGTTCATACGTTGCTAGAGACCCAAATCAGTGCATGGATGCACTGGCACTAAGTTACAACCACTTGCCACATCACTTAAAAGTATGCTTCCTCTATTGTGGAGCATTCCCCAAAAATTATGATATCCCAGTGTGGAAGTTGGTCTGGTTATGGATAGCAGAGGGATTTATACCACAAATTGGACAAAAGGGCAAGGAAGACACAGCGCATGATTACTTGATGGACCTAATTGATAGAAGTCTTGTTTCAGTTTCCAAAAAGGGGTCTGATGGTGGAGTCAAAGCATGTCGTCTACATGATCTGTTGCGTGATTTGTGCTTGAGAAAAGCTGATGAAGAGAATTTTATGCAGCAAATTAATGAGTATGAACAAATCATTTCCTTTTTAGATCTGAAAAAGATACATCAATGCCTGTGCATCCAATCTAGAGTTTTTCATTATGTTCCTTTAGAGCCTCCTATTGTACAAATTTGTTCTCTCTTGTGCTTTGGTCCCGAATCTGACACACTACCTGAGAAGCATGCATTGCACACTTATCATACCCTAAGTCGTCTTAGGGTACTGAATTTCTCATGCATTCCTATCATATGCTTTTCTAAGGAAATATTGCAATTGAGTCATTTGAAGTATTTGGCACTTCAGATTAGAGATGGGAGGGTACCGACATCAATATCCAACCTTTGTAACCTGGAAAACCTTATCATATCATCGAGGATGAATATTATGATACCACAAACCTTTTGGAAGATGGTAAAGTTGAGGCATGTGCTTCTTACGTCAGGAGAAAATTATATTGAAAAGCCTTGGTTAGAAGTATCATCCACTACTGGCGACTATCCCCCTTTGAATAACCTCCAAATCATCTCACAAGTGTGTCTTGCTAGTTGTTGTATGGATGTTTTGGAAAGGACTCCTAATCTTAGAAAGTTGGGATTTTGTGGGCCCATAATGTCAGAGTATGGTTACGTAACATTCCCTAATCTAGATTTTCTAAACCATCTTGGTTCATTAAAGTTTCGGGACACGAACACCCATATCCGCATGTCACGCAATTTGCAATGGAAAAAGTTTCCCCCAAACCTTAGAAGGCTCACTTTATCAAATACTGATCTAAAGTGGAAGGATATGAAAATCCTTGGGTTGTTGCCAAACTTGGAGGTTCTCAAGTTAAAATTTCATGCCTGCACGGGAAACAAGTGGAAAACAACCAATGGGGGATTTCAGCGACTTAGAGTGTTGAAAATTTTCCACTCGAATATTGAAAAATGGGAAACCACTAGTACTCACTTTCCAAGCCTTCGACAATTGATGCTAATAGGGTGTTCTCAACTCAAGGAAATTCCTTCTGAAGTAGGGGATATACTCACACTAGAGATTATTGAGTTGGTTGATTGTAGCTCCTCTGCTATAAAATCAGTTAGACGAATTGAGGAAGTGCAACAAGACAAGGGAAACGATGGTCTGCAAATACGTATCATCCCTTTGGATTGGGGGCTCACTGCATATTCTTGACACTATGCTGAGCATGGGTGAATGCTGCCATGACTAAATTGAGGAACCTATGGTATTATGTTTCTTCTTGTCTCCTTTACAGCGATAAAACATGTGTTTTTATCTGCTTCAAGGTCCTCTAAATCATTGCTTTGAAATTGTTTACATAATCTGATTGGTAATTGCATGCGTATGTCTCACTTATATTGAGGTCATCTAATGGATAATTCTTAATATTTGCCCAATAGCATCATGTTGGCCATTTCCCATTCTATTCCAGATATTTCTAATTTTGACATTGTAAACCTTGCTAGAGAAATTGGTCCTGAGGTTTTGTGAAGTTGGTGTGGTAGTTTACCATTGCACAAGCCTCTATTTCTTTCATTGGGATTTCTTGTTTACTAGGAAGAAGATTTTTACTAATTATAGTTGGTATTTTCATGTGGAAGAACATTCGAAGTGCTAAATAAAAGTAGTCTGGTGGACAGGGGAACGAATGCACTAGATGTGCTGATTCATTAATTAAAATTTCTCAAACAAATATACCATTCATGTAATTGTAATAATGGAATACCAAAATCTTCGTCACAACATAGTTCTCGTCGTTTGTTTTTTCCTCCAGTATGTTTCTTGTCTTCTGGTTTAGTGCTTTCCTCATTTATCCTCCAACTTATCATGTTTAAGGTACTTGATGGGACAACATACAACCTTCAATATCACTGGTTTGAATTTTTCAACTGTTCCAAGTTGATAACAGCAAGGATGTTGACGTTATAGTTGTTCATTAATAGGATTAGTACTTGGAGACTACCTCCTTAGATATTGCTTATGGTTGCTCTTCTTCCATTACTAATTGCAACGTTTTCATAACAACCTTTCATCGAGTTAGTTTTCTTCCCGCTGGTATAAATTAGCACTTGGGGACTGGTATCACATTTAACAGAAAAAACAACTGATGATCTTAATGCAGAGGTTGAACATATTGCTAGGCCTATTTCCATGGATGGAGTGGTTAATTGGACCCATATAAAAATTTATTCTGAGTTATAAATAAGAGAGATTGTATCCTTCTTTTAACTACTAGTAGTATTTTTCGTGTATGTACAGGCACACCGGTACACAAATTTGGAAATGGATAATGACTTTTTTTTTTTTAAAGCTGAAACTGTGTAATGCCATGTGTTTTTAAATGTTGATAAACTTAACGATTATTTCTCACTAGTTCTCTATAAAACTATTTAGTAATTACATGGTTGATACTGGTACTTGGATTTTCCAAATGAGAAAATATTGAAGTTTTGAACTGATATTATTCTATAGCGGCAAAACTTTAAATATGTTAATATGTTTTCACAATTTGCAAGTTCCTGTACTTGAATCTCATCAGCTTATCTCTAGATTGTATTTTGTTGACAGGGGCAGTCTACTCTTCAGAGGCAACCAGTGAGGAGGTCTTGAAATATTTTGTACAGTTCTCTCTAATATCTCACACTTTTAAAGCAGGAAGTTATTAATAAAGGATACTTGTGAATGGGATGAGTAATGAAGCTTGTCTAATCACCAACCATTACGTCTATCAGTTTCCACAACTAATCAGCTTTTTCTTCCATATTTATCCTCTTAAGCAATATTAATGCAAGGAATTTCTTTTCAGATAGGGTTTGATCTATGCTTGAAACCAACCTGTGTCTAAAATCATCAATCACACTACTGTACTTATTCAAGATGTGAAATAAAACACTCCATTACATCAATATTCATTGTAATCTAGTTACTTCTTAGAAAAATGCAGTAATCTTTGGGGCAGAGCAGGATAAAAGTATGCCATTAAAAACCCACATGCAACCATAGTTACCAGAAACCAGATCATTACATGTTATAGCTAAGCCATCAAGTTTGCAACACGATGTGGCACTAGTTAACCAAATTTTGTATGTTTTAGAAGGATATCACCCTTCTCTTTATTTGATGGTCATTGTTATTCTGGACAATCAATTCTGACTACAAAATGTTGTGTGTAGGCCCTGTAGGTGCCAGGGATAGATTAGAAACATACCTACTTGTTGCAATAATTTGCAAGATGTGGTGTAAAACCTCTCTCTCTAGCTTGGGAAATGAAACATTTTGCAACTGCACCAAGCAATTAAGTTGAAAACGACGAGGACAAATAGGAGAACCTCAAATGCCCATGAATAAGAAAAATTGAAACTGATGAGGACCAATGGTCCCTTTACTGTGGGATGCAAGGGGTGATAAATTTATTATAGATCCTTACCTCTAGTATTATTGAACAAAGTGCTGTCTTTAGATCCTAACTTGAGTTCTCAATCGTGCTTCTATCTCTATGCCTTGTAAATTAAAGTACACTTCTTTGTCTAGGCTGCTTTCATTAACAATTTGTCTAAAACAAATGGTTTAACAATTTAGCAATTCATTTTAGAATCCATACCCTGTTTTTTACTTAACAAGAATTGAAGGCTTTGTGTGGTGGGGGTTAATATTTGTCTACAAGAAATGAATCCCAAAGGCGAGCGATTTTTCCTCAAAACACATATCATCAAAAGAGAGAGAAAGAAGGCATTGGGTTTTAGATTTTGCCTATTTATGGAAGTATTGGTTAGTTGAAATAGCACTTTTTTCTTCCTCAATTCCATTCCTTTGTGTTTGCCAACAAAGACTAAAAAGCAATTTCCATTTCCAAGAATACCTTTTCAGTTCCATCCTACCTTCTC